GTCTGGGAAGCTCTTTATTTCACCATTCATTTTGAATGATAGCCTTGCTAGATATAGTGAGCTCAGTTTCAGATCCTTGCTTTTCATTACCTTGAATATTCCATGCCATTCTCTATATTGAATATTCCATGCCAGAGTGTCTGATGAGAAACAGCTGACAGCCTTATGGGAGCTCCTTTGTAGGTAAAAATTTGCTTTTCTCTTGGTGTCTTTAAAGATTCTCTCTTTGTCTTTAATTTTTGGCATTTTAATTATGATGTGTCTGTACATGGGCCTGTTTGTGTTCTTCTTGCTTGGGACTCTCTGTGCCTCCTTAACCAGTGTGACTTTTCTTTCACCATATTGGAGAAGTTTTCTGCCATTATTTCTTCAAACACATTCTCTATCCTTTGCAAGCTTTCTTCTCCTTCTAGCACACCTATTATGTGACTTGTTAAGTTTCATGTTGTTCCAAAGTTCCCTTAAGCTCTCCTCCTGTTTTTTAATTGTTTTTTTTTTCTTTTTGGTTCTCTGATTGAGTGAATTTTTCTACCCTGTCTTCCAATTCACTGATCTGATCCTTGGCTTGCCATAATCTGCTGTGTATTCCTTCCACTATATTCTTTATTTGTGCTATATTATTCTTCATAGTTACTATATCTTTTCTCATGTGGTTGAGCATCTTTGCCATCATTATTCTGAACTCTATGTCTGATAAAGTTCTTTTTTTTTAAATAGTACTCCTAATATTTATTTTGAGTGTTCAGATAGTTTCTGGATTTTTCAATAATTTCGTTACTGCATTTTAAACTTGTAGGTAGGATCCCTTGGCTGCGAAGCTTTGCTTTCCCTATATGCGTGAGCTTAAAATTATTGGAGCCATCGTTCTTCATTGCTTCCAGCATAACTTGTTGAAGTGACAGAAACGTATTATCCAGTATTTCGGGAGAAATATTATCAAAGGCTAATATGGTGCCTCTTCTGCTAAGAGGAATATATCTAAGTTTTTCAAGTTTTTCTCCATAATCTTTGCATTTACGTCCACAGTTTTGTTTTTTCAAAGAATCAACATTAGCCTAAGATTCTCCTTGACAATTATTTTCGGAAGCACGTTTCCAAATTCTTGATATGGTCATTCTGTTGTACTTAAATTGTTTTGCAGCTAACGTAATTGCACCTTTCTGCAACTTTTCCTTTTTCTTTTGATGCATCAAGAACTGGACAATCGCAACTCGATCTTTGCTTGAAAACTCTCTTTTTTTCATCTTACTTTTATAATGGGTTGATATTCAACTTTGTGTACAGCTCCCAAGAGCCGCATTAGAGAGACTTTGGAGGTGGTAAGCCTGGCCAGGGGTTCCCAACTCCACAGAGCAGTCGAACTTCTTTCCAACAAAGGAACTTGTGACAGTCTTTCCCCCTGGGGACTGATGAGCTGAGGCTTCTGGACCATTGAATTCCAATACTGAGGCTTCCCTGGCAACACGCCTAGTCCAAGGTAACCTGGATAGAGCTCTGGAAACCACTCCAGCCCCAGGGAGCTATGAAGGGTCTTCCTGTCGGCAATTTCCATCTGCCCGGTGAAGAGGGTTTTGGAAGTACAATGCTGGGTTGAAGGTAAAGACGGCGGGCACTCAGGGTGTAAGGCTTGGGGCCCACAGCCAGATCTGGGCTCCAGAAAGGCTTGCCCCTCCCTTTCCATCAATGCCTTTCCATCAGGGACTCGATTAGGATCGCAGGCTGCTGCTTTCTCTTCTTGTAGAAATTTTATAGCCAGGGACGCAAGACTTTGATTATGTGGCTGTGATACAGAAAGAAATTCATTGCAAATCGTCTGCCTTGGCATGAACAAATCTAAACTGGGACCTTCACCTCGAGATTTCTTCTCTGTGGCTGGTGCATCCATACTGAAGTTCTCAGAGCTGTCGTTCCTGGAAGGGCATGCCTGCATTTCCGTCACAGATACACTTTCCTTGGTGTGTCCTTTGCTCCCACATGCCTCTACTCCAAGTCCTTTTCCCGGGTTGTCCTGGACTTGGACTTTACCTAAGGGGCTGACTTGAAAACCTAAAATTTGTGATTCCATGTTCTTTTTCTCCTTCTCAGAGTCTCTAACATCAATATACATTTCTGAGAGGTGGTCCTTGGCCTTGGAATCTCTCGCATCACTTGAATACAATGTTTTTTCTCTTTTATCTCCATAATTGAGCTTCATGGGAGAACTATGATAATCACCAGTCGGCATATCTAGTAATTTTACTAGAAGCTTCTGTTTTGAGGGATCAATTGTGTCCAAGTTTAACTTAGCAGAAGTGGCTTGTGCATCATTAGGTAAGGCTGAAGGGTATTTTCTATCTTGATTTGACAAAGAAGGTTCCATTGGGCCAAAAGGCAAAGATGCTTTAGTTTGTGAAAGATAGCTTCTACTCTCCCCTGATTGAGGCAAATCTTTTGCAAGTTCCCTTTTAGGAGTAGCGTTCTTTAATGCATAAAACTGAGCCTTAGCTTCTTCCTTGAAAGTAATCTTTGGTTCAGGATTTTTTGCCATTGTGAGGGAGAGTTGAGTTTGATTTTTGGTGTCATCATCACTTGCCTTTGTATCACCTGCTCTTTCCAAACCAATAGCTGGTAGTGGAAGGTGCTCAGCAGTCCGTTCTGGTTTGTCCCTCATCAACTCACTATTTCTTTTCTCACTCTTTGTCCCCAACTCTCTCTCTTTAGCTTTAGTTAAGTCTTTGATTGGACTTTTCCTTTTCTTAGCATGTGGGAGTGTAGCCTGCTCAGACTGACAAACATTTTGATCGGCAGGTATAGTTAGTTTTATCATCTTACAATGTGGCAAATGAGATTTTAATCATTTAAAGGGCTTCTTACAGTAAGGACACACGTCCATTCTGGTGGAATCTCACTCTCCTATACCCGAGCTGCTTTCCGTACATGGGGACTAAGTCTGCGGTGGTTTCTCCCGGATCCCCAGGCTTCCCGCTCGCCGATCCCAAGTTTAGCAGAATCAAATTAGGTTTCCACGTCAGCCTCCCAAGACCTTAAAGTCCTGGAAGCCCCCGAGACAAGACCTGATAAAGTTCTTATCGCTATTTCATTTAGCTCTTCTTCTGGAGAATTTTCTTGTTCTTTCATTTGTTTTTTGTTTGTTTGTTTTGTTTTGTTTTTTGTCTCTCCATTTTGGCTCCCTGTATTAGGTGGATCTGCCATGCCTCCAATCTCTTGTGCAGGACAGTGTCAAATGATGTTTCTGACTAATTAGGTCAGGCAAAGACCCACCTCTGCCTGAAGACTGATTGGATTCAGTCATTACTAGCCTCAGGCAATGGTCCACAGGTGGGGTGAGAAGTTTTCCAATAGGGTGGAGCAATTGCTTCTTCCTGGAGGCTAATTGTTATTCTCAATCTTTTAATGGGCCTCAGAAACTCAACAGGGTGGGGCAAGAGGTTTTCTAATAGGGTGGGGCTACTGTCTTCCCCACAGGCAAAAAATGCCTGGATAGCAAAGATCTACCTAAGAAAGTTGCCCTCCGCAGCATGAGGGAATGACTCAGCACAGGAAATGGGGGGGGGGGGCGTGCCTGCCTTCTGAGGTCTAACCCCAGAGCCTCCAACCCTGGTTTCTGTTCACAAAGCTCCAGTTCACTCTTCCCTCCCTCTGCTGGAGCACAAGGCGAGTGGCTGCATACAGAATTGGCCCTTTAAGAGGGTGACTGCATTTTCAGCAGTCAGGCAGACAGCCACCCTGCTGTTTTTCATAGCCATGTGAAAAATATGTGGGCACCTTTGTCAGTTCTGATGGTCTCTTCTGGGGGGCACAGCTTGAGAATTCGACCCCAGAGTTCTCAGTGGCAACCCCCCACACCTGAGATATGTCTCTGGAACTTCAGCTGCTGTATGTGGGAGCCTGGCCAGCTCTTTTGTGCCTCTGCCCTTCCTACCAGTCTGTATGCAGTGTCCACTTTCTGTCCTTGGTTATCAGGGTTCTATCCATCTAGTCTTCATTTGATTGTTCAGGATGATATTTTTTTTTGTATTTATTTTAGTTGTAATTACAGTTTGGTCCAGGGAGCATGTCTGTGTAGCATCCTCATTTCCTTTTTAAAAATCCAATGTTAAGCTAAATGCTACTTAAACACATGTTTAACCTTAATGGTACTGACCCACTTGTGGCAGGAAGGAGAGAAAGCCAAGTATTCTTGCCCACCAATTAGGCCTAACACAAGTGTCAGAAGCGAGATCCGACAGTGGCTTCAACAGCCAATAAGATGTAGCCTCATTCTTGCTTGGCCTGATTTTGTGACTGGCCAGCAGACAAGTTTCTCCAACGCCTCTTTCAGAATATGAAGCATCTCAAAGCTGTCTGAACCTGTCCCACTGGCCTGTCAATCAGGTTGGTCTGTGATCTTCCTGAATCCTATAAGAACATTTCAAGGAAAACGCAAAGAATATGTAAGCTGAATTATGGTCCTCCCATGGGCTTCCTGAAGCACTGAGGTGTCTGAAAGCTACATATAGTTTCTGGGAAATGACTCTTTTAAGAAATGTAACACAGCCTTAGCTGGTTTGGCTCAGTGAACAGAGCGTCGGCCTGCGGACTGAAGGGTCCCAGGTTGGATTCCGGTCAAGGACACATACCTCAGTTACAGGCTCCTAGCCCTGGTCATGGGCATGGGGGTGGCAACCAACTGATGTGTTCGGTGTTTCTCTCTGTCTCTCCTTCTCCCTTCCACTCTCTCTGAAAATTAATGGAAAAAATATCCTCAGATGAAGAAGAAAGAAAGAAAGAAAGAAAGAAAGAAAGAAAGAAAGAAAGAAAGAAAGAAAGAAAGAAAGGTAGCACAGACATAAGCAATTCTTAAAGAGGTCCTTGCTGAGATGGTAACACTTATTGTGAAAGCACCACATTTGATCAACAGGGGACCTATCTGACCCCCAGCAGGTGTCAATGTTTTACAGCAGGTGACAGGACATAGACAGTGCTTCCACTATCCGGGAATAAGTCCAGGGCGCAGTGTACACATTTCACAGCTCTTTATTGAGATTCAGGAAGAGTCTCGGGCGTGGTCACTGTCCCAGGTTACCCAGGCCTTCCGCTGCATGGGTGACAGCATTTGTGACTGTGTGGGTCACAGTCTCAGTGACTTCCTTTACCACTTTGTCCCCTGTCTCCTGGGCCTTCTTGAAGGCTTCGGCAATGGCTGTCAGCAAGAAAGAGGAATAATGTCTGGGTAAGCAAAGTAAACATTCGAGCCACTTGCTGGGCTGTGTCCCCTGCAGTGGCCTGTGGGATGTGGCTGTCTTCCTGGGCCATGCCCTGGAGGATCCCCAATGGGGTGGAGGGCAACAGAGCTCCTGAGGAATGTGTGCAAATTTTGTTTTATTTCCCCAAACAGCTTGCATTTCTGACTTCAGTTGTAAGACTGAACACCTGCTCACAGGGTGGCTGCCTGCTCACATGCCTTTTCCTAGAACTACCACTATATCTCCTGACCATTTCTATGTTGGGTTATCATTTCCACTACAAATATTTCCCCTCAGCTGGTGGTTTTTCTTGAGCTTAGAGTATAATTTTTTTATTATGGAAAATTTGAAGTATTATTGTCAGATTTATCTAACATTTCCTCAATAGTTGTTGAGTTTTCTGTCATAGTTTAAAAAAAAGACCCTCCCCACTCTGAGATTATGCTAAAATCTCCTATGCACTCCTCTAACAATTTAATCATTTCATGTATTTGTATTTATGTCCTTGATTCACTTGGAATTTATTTTGTTGTAAGGAATGAGGTGTACTTATACTTTTTACATAGTTATACTCACAGTACACATACACATACAAAAATTTATGTAAGTATCCTATATAATAAAGAGCCAATATGCAAATGGTCGTCACGCCATCACACTGTAAAGGCTCAGACACTCAACATTGGGGAGAAAAGAATGGGGACCAGACAGGCACAAATGAGCTCGCGAGAAAGGAATGGGGACCAGCCAGGTTGTGGCCCAGGAGAGGGACAAGCCTCACATCCCACAGTCCCCAGTGTCAGCGGCTGCACCTGTGGCCCAGGAGAGGGACAAGCCGCCCGCGTGGTCCTGGGCTCCAATGCCTGTGCCTGTGGCCTGGGAGAGGGACAAGCCGCCCAACCCACAGTCTCAGGCACCTGCAGCTGCAGCCTGAGCGAAGCCACCCACCTACGGTCCCCTGCAGCTGCAGCCAGCCTGGGCAAAGCCGGCCCAGGTCCTGGGTGCCTGCGGCCAGCCAGAGGGAGGGAAGCCCGGGTCCCGAGTGCCTGCAATTGGCCAGAGGAGTGAATCCTGGGTCCTGGGTGTGGGGCAATGTAGAGGTGGTTAGGGGCAATCAGGCCAGCAGGGGAGCAGTTAGGGGTGATCATGCAGTAGGCAGAGGTGGTTAGGTGCGATCAGGCAGGTAGAGGTGGTTAAGGGCGATCAGGAAGGCAGGCAGAGGAGTTAGGGGAGATCAGGGAGGCAAGTGGATAGGAGCCAGCAGTCCTGGATTGCAAGAGGCAGTCGGACATCCCTCGAGGGGTCCTGGATTGGAGAGGGTGCAGGCTGGATTAAGCCCCCCCCCCCTGCACAAATTTCATGCACTGGGCCTCTAGTGTATTTATATAAGTGTATAATTTTATGTCTTGAATGCCTTGTCCCAGTGAGCTGCCGCACGGCCTTTTGTGAAATAGTCTTTTCAACGTTCCACAGAGAGGCCTGTCAGGCTGGGTCCTGCCTTAGTAAGGTTGGCTCTGTGGCCTCAGATGGTGTGATAATTGCATACCATCCGAAAGGGTGCAGCATCTGGGTCAGGGTTTGACCTGCTTAGTCAGAGAGCAGGCTGCTCCCAGCCCCTTGCTTCCCTCCTCCCCCCCTTCCCAGCCCCCACCATACCTTTCTCTCCAGCCTCCTTGGCGTGCTCCACCACCTCCTTCACTACCCCCTCCACGGCATGAACTGAAAAGGTAAGACAAGCCCAGAGTGAGAGCCCGCGCTAGGCAGCTCCTCCTCCCTGCAGGGCTCAGGCAGCTCTGGGTGCTGCCCCAGCCAGGACCAGCTGGCTCAAGGGAAGGACCCTCAGCTTGCTTCTTGAGGAGGATGTTGGGGGGAGGGTCTGGCTGCTGGGAGAGAAGCTGAGTTCGGCAGACAAGAGCACAGAACCCTTCATGCCCCTCAGCCTGGTGCAGCCTGGAATGCCAACGAGCAGGCCCTCCTGCCAGCTAGGAACTGGTGCCAAGGCTAAGCCTGTTTCCCAGGTTATCACACCTCTCAGGTGTGCTGCTATCCTGCCTCAAACCAGATGGAGACATGCCAAGTCCAGAGCCTCCTCCAGCAAAACCAGTTCCCCACAGCCGTTCCTCCAGTAGAAGGGGACTGTCTGCCACCTCGGAGTTGGTTGAGTGTGAGTGCTAGCCTGCTGGGACCGGAGGAACTGGAGTCAAAGGAACTGGCCCTGATCTTAAACGCCCCTCCCACTGCCTGGTTCCTTGTCTGTGAATGCAGCCTGGTGCAGCCTGGAATGCCAACGAGCAGGCCCTCCTGCCAGCTAGGAACTGGTGCCAAGGCTAAGCCTGTTTCCCAGGTTATCACACCTCTCAGGTGTGCTGCTATCCTGCCTCAAACCAGATGGAGACATGCCAAGTCCAGAGCCTCCTCCAGCAAAACCAGTTCCCCACAGCCGTTCCTCCAGTAGAAGGGGACTGTCTGCCACCTCGGAGTTGGTTGAGTGTGAGTGCTAGCCTGCTGGGACCGGAGGAACTGGAGTCAAAGGAACTGGCCCTGATCTTAAACGCCCCTCCACTGCCTGGTTCCTTGTCTGTGAATGGGAGTCATAGGAACGCAGAGGGTCGGTGAAGAAAGGCCGCTCAACACCTGCACAGAGTTAACCAATGAAATAGGGACATATTTGCTGCCATTTAGAAAGAGAACAGCAAACTTAAATGCCAGCTGGTGGACCTGGATCCCCTCCCCAGCAGAGCTGCTGACGTCTGCATGCAAAAAGGGCTTCCGGGGCCCAAAACATTGAAAAGAATCAGACTTAGTGGTTTCTTCTTCTTCTTCTTTTAATTTCAGAGAGGAAGGGAGAAAGAGAGAGTTAGAACATCAATGATGAGAGAGAATCATTGATCGGCTGCCTCCTACATGCTCCACACTGGGGATCAACCCCACAACCCAGGCATGTGTCCTGACGGGGAATTGAACCACAACCTCCTGGTTCATAGGTGGGCAATGTGGTTTCTTAATAGAGAACTCTTTGCAGCTTTAATGTTATGGTAAAAATAACACCTCCTTCCTTTGCCTGTATGGGATATTCAAATTAGGCTGTTGGGATGGGAAGGCTCCCAGGTTTCCAGAGGGAAGTGTCCAAGCTAGCTGCTCGCCCAGCACCTGGGCTCCCCTCCACCCCCACCCCCACCCTACCCGGGGCTTCCTCTGAGATGGCCTCCCTCCTGCCCTCAGCCACAGGGACCCTCCTGGCCTCACCCCAAACAGCCCTCCTCAGCTTCTGCACCTTCTCCCCATCCTATCCTTATGGGTCTGATTGCCCAGAGCTCCTCATGGGGTCAAGGCCTGCCCCCAAACTGCGGGGATCAGCTTCGAACAGGCCCAGGCAAGTGGATCCCCAGCCCCCTGCCTGAGCCCCAGGTCCTTACCGGCTTCCTCGGTGGCCTTCTCAGTGCGGTGGGCCAAGCCCTCAGCAGCAAGCTTCCCCAGGCCTCCCAGCATGGCGCAGCGACCTTGACGACCAAGGAAGATGCTGGGGCCCGGGCCAGGGTGCTTTTATAGCCGCCTCTGACGGCGGCTGCACTCTGGGGCATCAGCCCTCACCCGGGCAGCTAGGAGGTCAGCCGTGAGTCAGCGCAGGTGTTGGCAGGAGGAAAAGGCTGGGTGGGGCCACCCTCATACTCTGGCTGTGGCACTGCCCCTCTGGAAGCATGAGACCCCGTGCCCTGCATTCTGGGACCCTGTGGGGTCAGGGATAGGGAGCAGGGCCAAGGCCAGACAAGGTCAGCCTGGCAGAGGCCCGAGTGCCTGTGGAGGAAGAGACACGGGCAGTAGCCCTGCCCTCATCCCCTTCCAGCTCTCCGCAGCCCGGCTCAGGGGGCAGCTAGACAAGCCGCGGCTCCAGCCTGCTGCTCAGGGTCTCTGTGTGGCCTAGCCAGGGGCTTGGGATTCCATGGGCCTGGGGACCTGGGTGACCCCTTAGGCCAAGAACACAAGCGGAGTGGAGGCCACTGCCTTCCCACTCCCAGAGCCCAACTCCTCAGCTTGGCTCTCAGCCTCCCTGGGGCAGGTGGGGGCTCCGGGGGTGCCTTTCGAGCAGAGGAGGGTGCATCGAGGCAGGCCTGCCAGCGGTCAGCGGGCCCGCTCTCTCAGGGACCTGAGTGCCCAGTACCGGGCAGCCAGCAGCTGCGGGAAGCAGCCCTCCCTGCACCTCGGGGCCTGGTCTCTCGGGAAGGCCCTGTGAGGGCAGCAGTGCCCCCCAGGAGGTCCCAGAGGAGAAATGGGGACGCCACACCCCCACCAGGAGCTTCAGGCCCTGGCAAGAACCCCCAGGAAGCCGCCCCACCAGCCCCGGATGAGTCAGTCACAGGCTTAGGGGCCAGGCTGCCGCCCCAGTTACTCAGGACGGCAGAGATGCCTCAAGCCTGTGCCACGTGCTCCTTCTCTTAGTCAATAGCCCCACCCGAGCCTCAGTTTCCTCATCCATAAAATGGGGACAGCATGCCTTCCTGGCCATGTCACCAATAGTTGTTGAGATGATGTGTGCAAGGTCCTGGTAAACTCCTGTTCCTCCCCGTCAGCGCGGCTGTGCCAGGAGGGGCTGCTTGGCAGTGAGCCTGACCCACCAGTGGGTGGGCCAAAGGGTGAGGGTGGGAGGCTGCCTGTAAGCCACAGGCTGGGGGTCTCCACCCCTGGGCAGGAGTCATGGAGGGAAGGTCCTTCAGTGCAGGCCTGGGGCGGGATTCTGAGGCTGCATCCCCCATGGGTGTTCCCTCGTCCCTCAGAGCTGCCCTGGCCCAGGCCTTCCCAGCCCGGGTCCCCAGCACCGCCCTCCCACATTCCTGCGTGGTCCTGGATGGCCCCCAGGCTGTGGCCAGCCCTGGCAGCAGTGGGACTGTGAGCGGCAGGGACTCTGGGCCACAGGTGGTGTCTCCATTGGCAGGAGTGGTTGGTCTTACTGGGACGACGTCTTCTTAAGAAAAAGAACATAACACTGCTGCTCCTGCGAGTTTCACAAATATGCAGGCTGGGGCAAAAGTAGGGTTCCAGTTATTCATATGGAAAATAATACATTGAATACTAACACAAGAATAGACCCTCGTACTCACAACTGTAACCCGACTTTTGCCCACCGTGTATGTGATGACCCTGTGGACTGGAGGGGCCGGGAGTGCGAGGGCCTTAGAGCACAAGCAGGTCCCACGACTCTGTTCTCGCCTCGTTACAGCCAAATACCAGAATGTTCTGCTCAGGGCAGCCAGGCAATGCCGTCACGGGTGGGGGACTTCTGGGACACGACTGGTGGGAATTGGGCTGAGAGACCCAGAGGGCCGTTCCCTGGCCCATCAGAGCCCCTTTCCTCTTTGCTCTGAGGTTGTCTGTGTCCCCCACCCCGCAGGCTCTTTGTGCCCTTTCCCTCCAGGCCCCACCCTGAGATACGCTTTACAGTCCCCTCTCCTCAGGAGCTCACCGGCTCCTCCACGGCCCTTGTCAGGACTCGGCCACCCAGCAGAACTGAGCCCATGCCAGCCAGCCAGCGCCCGCACCACTACAGCCTGCAGGCCGCTGCTGCCCTCACCACATCCGTCCTCTCCCCGGAGAGCCTGCTCCCCCTTAACGCACCGTCCTGGTGTGAGCACCGCACTCCAGTTCCAACACACCATTGGCTGCTCCCGGCTCTTTAGCTGGGAAGAGTCTACCCTCAGGGAGCCATGGGCTGGGCTCACAGGATAGGTCGGTGGTCTCAGCTGGAGCTGAGGCCAAGTGGGCTTGCACCTGGGCCAGAGCACCGAGGCCTGGACTCTGTGCAGCTTGCCTCTCGAGGATTCTTGCTTTCTCCCTGTTGGCATTTGGGATTTGTTTGGACGCAGCCTTGGCCAGAGATCTAGGGCCATGGTGTGTTGGAACTGGAGTGCGGTGCTCACACCAGGACGGTGCGTTAAGGGGGAGCAGGGACTGGAGTGCGGTGCTAGACCCTGCTGAGCAGGGCTGGATTCCTGGCAACTCCCACAAGGAATAACATTACCCTCCCCGACACCTAAATTAACACAAAGTAAAACTGAATGTAAAGTAATTGAAATATAAAATTAAAAGAAACATTACCTGCCTGGATGAGGTTGAGGATGACTCAGGAGGAAACCAACCACCCTACCTCGGAAGGGGCCTGGCCCGCTGGCCCGCGGGACCCCTGTGGAGAAACCCTTGAACACAGTCCTGAGTCAGAAGGTCAAGTCCAGCCCTGGGGCAGGGAGAATCAGGCATGGGCAGGAGCTAACTAATTCTCCGTGTGGAATTTGCTCAAAAACCCTTTGGCAAAAGACCAGTTGCCTGCATCCAGTCAAGGAGGGCCAATCTTTCAAATAGCAATTTGCTAACTTAGCAATTAGCAATTCGGGGGGGGAATTGTTTGTTTTAAGTGCTTAAATACTTGGGGCCGTCTTATGTCCAAAGCATGACGATTTCTTGTGTGATTCGAACTGGAGATGTCATGGATGTCCTGTTTCATGATTGTCCATCCTGCCTACGCTTCTCCGACTTCTGCTTCATGCATTTGAGCTCACAGTATATTACGAGCCCACATCTCCTGCACACACTGACCCCTCCCAGTCACTGGGGAGCCAAGCCCAGACCAGGGAGACTTGATGTGTCAGTCACCAAAGAAGGACTTCCCCAGCATGGCAATACCCACACACCCATGGATGTCAGTCAGGTTCCTGGTGAAAATCAGAGGGCGCATCACAGGGGCCTGAGGAAAGGAACTGTTCACATAGGTGGACAGACTTAAGGGAAGGGCTGTGGGATAGAGAGGTGCCAGAGCCCAGCAGTATTGGGAGGCATCACCTCCCTGGACCTGAACGGGCAGGGGAGGGGCTGCACAGACCCTAAGGTGAGCGGTGCCTGCAGGAGAGGGTCACAGGACAGGAACTGCAGCCCTCGGCAGAGAGCACTGCTACCATCACACCCTGTCCAGCAAGGAGGGAGCAGGCTGTGCATCCCTCTCCCCTCCCTCTCCAGCCTCCTACTGCTATTTCCCCATTAGCCGAATCAGCTGAGGCTGAGGCTGAGGGAGCCTGGGCAATGCAGTTCAAGAGCGAATGTTCCCGGGGCTCAACCACTGAGCCACACTGCCAGCCATCAGTGGATCCTATGTGCAATGATTATTTCTGTGGTGTTTGCCTAGTGGTGATTGACTATTTCCCATTTCTTCTACATTAATAAATTAATTAGAATTCTGCAATAAAAGTTGCCCATTCTCCACATTCATTTTAATCCATTAGTTACTCATATCAGTATGGATTCATGAATAGAATATTTATCTTATTCTATAGGTTAAAACCCAATACTATCATTATTTATTTTGTGACTCAAATCAATCCAGCTTGAGCCATTAGAAACTCCTTCAGTTTGGCTCTGGTGTTCTTTTAATAACCCCCCATCTTTGCTGTCTGTCTGTCTATTTATCTATCGATTGATCGATCTATCTATCTATCTAATCTGTTTTAGCATTGCCTTACTTTCTGGCACTACAAGGATGTTCCAGGCTAATCCTGTATTTCCCCCACTCCAGCCCTATAGTCAACTACTTCTCCTTGGAGCTCTGGTTCCTTTTATTAGAGAATGGTATTAGAGATCAAGATTTGGGTGAGAGGTATGCTCATTGCTACTGGGATATCATTGCTCCTAGGAACTTCCAGCAGATAGATCTAGGAAATTATATATATACTAACCCTTTCATATATATATATTTGCATCTATCGGTATTTATAATTAAAAACCATGAGTATGTATTGATACCTCAGATTCCAGTCCAACACCACTGGATTCACTTTAGTGTTTCCCATTATTTGTAATTTCTTTCTCCAATAATTATAATCTACATTATATCTACTTATGCATTTAATTCTAGTATATACAGGAGTACCCCACCTTATTCACAGTTTAGCTTTCTATGGTTTCAGTTACCCATGGTTAACCTTGGCCCTAAATATTAAATGGAAAATTCCAGAAATAAACAGTTCCTAATTTTTAAATTGCATGCTGTTCTGAGGAGCATGATGTGGCACCATGCTGCCCAGCATATCCATGAAGAGTGCTGGTCCTGGCAATTAGAATTTGCCGAAGAGAAGCCATAAAGTGCCTCTTTAAGTGAAAAGGTGTGTGTGTGTATAGGAAAGACATGGCATACATAGAGTTTAATACTCCCTGTGGTTTCAGGCATCCAATGGGGGGGGCGGTCTTGGAACATACCCTCCATGGATAAGGGGTCGTATAAATATTGGTTCAGAACTGCTAACCCACAATCCTGTGAGAAACATATTTACTGGCCCGATTACAGGATTTATGTAGTTATTTCTGCCTTTAGCCTTAGAGAATCCAGTCAATACAGTCATATGCCACATATGACAGTTCAGTTAATGACGGGCCACGTCTGTGATGATGGTCCCACAAGACTATAATGGAGCTGACAGATTCCTGTTGCCTAGTGACCTCGCAGCCGCCTACCATCACAGTGCAATGCATTCCTCACGTGTTTGGGGTGATGCGGTGTAAACAAGCCTACTGCGCGGCCACTCCCAGAAGAGTACAGCAATCTAAAACAAGAAAGAAACCAGACGGCAACACCCACTTTGCTGCCTTAGGGCAAACAGACAAACCATGTCTAGAGGGGACTCCGAGTCAAGTGGGGCTGGTAGACTATAAGCAGCCTAAAGCAAAAAAATAAAAAAAAAAAGTACAGCA